GCTGGACGCTTTCTGCAATGAACGCGATAATTCAAGTCCTTTAGGACAAAAGAAAGCCGGGATAGCTCAAATACTTTCGGAATTACTTGTACTTACAATAGAAAAAGGATTTATAGCTCTTACGGGCACAAAAGCTGCGTAGAAGAACCGCGTGTCGGCTGAAAAATTAACGAAGAGCCGTTTATTCTCTATCTGTGGCGAATGGTAACTCCATTAGCACCGCGCTTTCTAGGAAGCCTCCACACGTTATTGCTAATCAATTGACGGAGACCAAAGTGAAAGAAGCTACTCTGTACCCAGGGAAGCACTGTACGGCGGCAGAGGTCAGCACGCGGGGTTTACTGGATGGCTTTGATCCTGAATAGGTAAACTGAGTCACCCAAGTACGGGTTCCTTCATGGGATTCTATTCTCGTTACTCTCCGAGGCTCCAAAGACACAAAGGGACGAGCGCCTGTGTCCTGAAAATCTCTGGGAGCGCGGACTAGTGAACAGGGCGTGCGCCGTGGGTGAGCGACGGGCAACATGCCTCCACGGGGTGTGGCCCTGTTTAACAGAATGAACCTGCCCCAGGGCCTCGTTGCTCTATGTCTGATGTTTGCGGCAATGGAGAGTTTGATTTTTAAATGTGATCTGCACCTGGTTAATGCAGGAGGCCGGCCGGGGCAGAGTCGTCGCCCCCACCGCCCGGCCCTCCCTGCCTCGGGCTCCTGCAGCCCCCGAGGTGTGGCTCTCGCTCCACCTGGCCATGCAGGTTGCACACCTCGAGGGAGTTCAGGGACTCAGCAAGGCGACACTGCCAGGAGTGACAAGAGCTGGGATCTGGGCCCAGGAAGCCGCTCCAGGGCCCGTGCTCTGACCTCTCGGTCACGCACCTGGGAAGGCTGCTTTTAGTGTTCCCGTTTTGCGGAGGAGGAAAACTAAGGGCCAGAGAGTGGGTGGAGAGGTGCCGGCATGGGCACCTGTGTCTGCAGCCCCACTCACGATCTGAGATCCATGCCGACCCACAGCCCGAGGGACAGGTCGCCTGGCCTCCTTGGGGACAGCTGCTAAGACCCAGCATACAGAGGGGGCTCGGCCCTCGGTCGGGGTCAGCACAGAGCAGGGCGGAGTGAGGACCCTGTGGGATCTCCAAGGCCAAAGGAAGACAGACCCCGTCCCCCCGTCCGGAATGGGCAATCCCTCTGTCCCTGACCCAAGTGCTCGGCGGGTCCCAGCAAGATGCAAGAGCTATTTATTCATCGGGACATCCAAGTCAGGCCTCGCAGGTGCGCTCCCTTCCAGGTAGCTGCCCTGCCGGAGAATCCCTCCAGGTCTGTTAAAAATATTGCCGCCGGGTGGATCTCTCGGACATGTGCTAGCCCCGCGTCTGAGTGGGCGGCTCGGGGCTGTGGCATCCCGCGGCCCGGCGGTTCTCAAAGTGGGGTTTGCCTGGGAACGTGCTGGAACGCAAATTCTCAGGCCCTGCCCCAGACCTACTGAATCAGAAGCTCTCAGGGTGGAGCCAAGTCGAATGTGTTTTAACAAGCCCTTTGGGGGTGATTCTGATGCTCACGTAAGTCTGGAAAATCCTGACTTAGCATATGGTGCCCTCACACAGGCATCGTTCCCGTCTGAACGTTGCGCTTGGTCGGAGCTGCGGGTACCGGGAGGCGGGATGGCGTCTGGCACAGGGAGCCGTCCTCTTCTGCAAAGATAGCGCGTGTCTTCACCCGTCTTGCCAGTTTCTCTGCTAATGGGCTTGCACAAGGACACCCTGAGTCTCTCCCATGGGCTCCAACACCTCCTGGGAAACTCTCTTTGAAAAGAACTTCCAGAAATTGTGAAGACTGATGATCGCGCTGTATGTACATCATCAGGTAACAAAAACGCGGACACAAAGACTGTGTTTTTGGGAATGTTTCCCATGAGCCAGGACATGGCTGAAAGGATTCCCTCTTTAAGACCTGAAGTAATAAGGAAGCACTGAAGTTTTCAGACCTGATGATAAGAAAAAACAAAAAAACGACAAAAAAAAAAAAAAAAACAAACCCCAAAAAACAACAAAAAACCAAAACCAAAACCAAAAAAAAAAAAAACAACCAAAAAACAAACAACAACAAAAAAAACTTCTAAAATAAGAAAATCTACACATTTTCCTTTTCCAGAACCAGTCATGTCCTTGAGAATAAGCCTTTCCTCTTCATTCAGGATATTGGTGTTAGCAACAGTTGCACATAAATAAGGCTTTCCAAACAAACATCTTATCTTTATATGGAAGGAAGTTCATGAAGAAGGAATTGACGTTTTTCCCCAACAACGACAACAATACATTTTTGGGTTCCTTTCCCAGAAATTAGTAAATAACAAAATACCTTTCATTTAAGAAGGAAATAAAAAAAAAAAAGGTCATAGCAAATGCTTAAATCTAATCCATATGCCACTCATATGCTTGCAAAAGGAGAGGGTTTCTGTGAGCCAATTTCTCCACTCATTCTGTGCCAAATAAAACAGATTTCAGTAAAAAGCTTTTACTGCCTCACAGGGAACTCTGCTCATTCTTCGGGGTATAGAGAACTATTCATTTTTCATTCAGAATTCCCGGTTCTCTACTTACTATATACATTTTTGCACTCCAGCACACTGTACCCACTCTGGAGAAGCACGGTGAAGTCTGAAAAACACAACATCTTCTCCGGATGGAAGAAATTTTTAAAATGCTGATGTGGTTTAGCATCTACATTCTATAACATTAGGGAAATGCAATTCTCAATGCAAAAAAAAAAAAAAAACCCCAAAAAACAAAAAATAAAAAACAAAACACAAAAAACTTGTATGTGATGATCCTGGGATTCGTGACTGTCACTGCTAAAGAAATATCCGTCCCGATCAAAAGCAAAAAAGAGGTCCCCAGAGGGAGCCAGCTGAAAAAGTGCTAAATACTAAAAATATGGTCTGTGGGTTATGAAAAAGTTCAGACTCTAAACCCAGGAAAGGGACAACTGGGTGGCTCAGTGCTTAAAGCATCTGCCTTCGGCCCAGGGCGTGATCCTGGAGTCCTGGGATCGAGTCCCGCGTCGGGCTCCCTGCAGGGAGCCTGCTTCTCCCTCTGCCTGCGTCTCTTCCTCTCTCTCTGTGTCTCTCATGAATAAATAAATAAAATCTTAAAAAATAAACCCCAGGAAAATAAAGAGGCACACCATACACACCCATAGGAAGTAGCTTTGTGTTCGATTTGCACCATTCAATCATGCAAGGGTACAACCAAGTGAGGTTCCACGTGTGCCTGAAGTTCCTCACATCAAAAGGTAGCTGAGATGTCACGGAGAACCCAAAACCACTGCGAGGCATTAGGAAATGCTTAAGAAACACAAACATCAACATGCTCTCTTCTAAAATATGTCGTGCTGCAGGCTTTGCCAGCGGAGCGCAAGGGCACAGCAGGGAAGGTCTGTAGATGGGAACAGTGTGGTCTTCAGGGATAGAGATTCCCTCTGGAGGGACAGAGGAAGATTCGGTAAAATTTATGAAACGTGATGGACACACGGGCGCCTGACAGTTGCGCGTCCGACTCTGTTTCGGCCCAGGTCATGATCTCAGGGTCGTGGGATGGAGCCCTGCATCGGGCTCCACGCTCAGCGCAGAGTCTGCTTGGGATTCTCCTCCTCCCTCTACCTACCCTTCCCACTTGTGCATGCTCCCCGCCCCTCTCTCTAAAATAAATAAATACATTAAAAAAAAAAAAGACTGATAGACAACCAGGCTCAAAAGGAAACCAAGCAAGAAGTCGGCTGCTCCAGAGAGACCCTCAGGGAACTTCTAAGCATGCCTCCCAGGTGGGAGGCACGGACTTGGTTTCTAGTTTATTTTAAGGAAAAGCGATTTTATGAATAAGCACAGAAGGGTTCCAGCTAAGACTCTCGGGATCGTGCAGCTATGACCGAGGCAGAAGGAAAAGCATGAAGGCCCCGTGGGGGAATAACTGTGTGCCCCGCCAAGTTCCTGTTCCTGGAGTGGTGTCCTCCTCGCCCCCGCCCCCCATCTCCACCTCTTGGCCCAGGAAGCTGGGCCATCCCCCCCCAGGAAACCTCTGAGCGTCATGAAGAATAACGCGTCCTTCTTGACTCTGCAGGTTGACCTCATGCCTTGTGATGCGAATGGAGCAGGCCCCACTGCGGGCTCGGGTGGTCTGCCTCGGGGACCTCATCTTCCAAAGCTGGGTCCCCTCCCGGCCACCCCAGGGGCTGTCCCTGCTGCTGCCCACCCAAATGAGGAAGGACGCATCTTGAGAGCACAGACCACACTTCCCGGGTTTACCGTGTCCCATCCCAGCCCACGAGAGGAAGAGCTACCGTCAAGGAGCAGCTGAGCCCCCGGGAGCGGAGGGCCTGAGATTTCCAGGGGTGCTTCAAGGCAGCAGCAGACCCGCAGCAGGAAAGAAGCCCGGTCGAGACCCCGGCTGCTGGGGACAAAGGCTCTTTCCCGTCCACGTGTAACGACAACCTTGCAGCCATTTAGTTGCTCTGAAGACAAACTTAACACTCCTGGCTTCCTGCATACGCCGTCTCCACAAATGTCGTATCGCACAGAGAGCGACTTACTGCAAACACCGCTCCCCGCTCTCTGCTGTGAACCTGACGTCTCTGGGGCATCTCGTGGCACATCACCTGTCGTCCCTCTCCCAGTCAAAGCCCAGGTTCCTGCCGGGAACCCGACCCATGCAATTCTCTCGGGAAGCGATCGTGACGATGCCCAAAATTTCAATGCTAGGGATAGCAAGCTCAGGCCTCTTAACGCCTAGAAGCACAAAAGGTCTCCTCCTACCTTCCGTAACTGAAGGGGCTCGGCGTGGGATCTCACCTCGACTTCCACATAGACCTTAACTATTCCCCTGAAATGCTCTAGGGGTGAAGCCACACGTTGGAAGGGTCATAGGGCCTGCAGGGAGCTTCTAGAAAGAACCCCCTGGTCCACGTCGCAGATGCACCGGCCCGGAGAGCCGCCCCCACTACCCCGGCCTACCTTTTCCGAGGCCTTGTCCTGCGCCGGTGGCCCCGTGCCAGGCGAGGTCGGGGGCGGAGGGGCCCGCCGCTTCTTCAGGTCCGACTTCACAGACACCCCCGAGATGTTGCTGAGCGACAGCGATGGACCCAACGGAACGGAACGGGGGTTCACGGACGGGGAGTTGGGCGTTGTCAGGCAGCCCTGTGGGGACAGACGAACAGGATACTCTCATCAGTGTCCCACGACTGCTGTGTGGGCGGGTGCTCCAGGCTGGACACAGCGCCAAGCCGCTCGCCCAGGCCCCCGACGTCATCTCCACCACGGCGGGCCTGCGTGGCCGCGCAAAACCCACATTCGCCCTGTCACGAAGGCCCGGGTTCTCCCTTTTAGGAGAAGATGCTGCTGCGCGACAGCCAGGTCTGTTTTCGGGATCATGAATCGGCCGGCATTCCCGCCCAAGGTACGAGGGAGCCTCGCTGAGACGTTAGCCTGCCATCCGAGGACGCCTGGGTGCCGGAGGGGAAGGAAGGGCGAGAAGCCTACTGCTCCCGGAGAAGAGGACTGTTCACTGGCGCTGACCACACTGCCTGCACCTCCGGCCGCCTGGTGACGACCCTCACGGCACCTGTTCCCTCGAACACCGACCGCCACCCCCTTACACCCACCAACAACGTGAGTGTGTCGCAGGTAAACACAGGCTTCCCCCTTCCCGGTGCTCTGCTGAGGCCACAAGGTCCAATTAAAGGTGGAGCTGCCGAGGTACCTGTGAACCCCCTGATCTCGTGCGTCCCTGTGCACCCCCACCCTGTGCATCCCTCATGCCGGAAAACCTGCGGCCTAGTGTCTGGACTTTGCAGAGGGTGACTGCACAGCCCCGGGGTCACCTTCCACCCGCGTCTCCCCAACAGCCAGCTGCCCCGGACAAAGCTCTGCGTACACCACAAGGAGCCATCTGCTCAGCTGCCCCGTCCCCAAGCGCCTTCCGCATTTGGGGGAACCGTGACTGCCCCCTCCGCCCCACCTTCCAACACCTCATGCCGTCTGGAGAAGTAGGCCACCTGCTGCCAAGGGGGGGGCGTAGGTTTCTTTGAACGGTCAGAGGTCGTGGATGAACGGACGGACGGAGCAAACGGCGCACCGCGAAGACCGCAGGGGCGCGGAGCACAGTCCCGTGTGGGGAGTCCCTAATGCACGGGAGACCGACGCCAGCCAACGTGCTCATGAGCTGCTTGCAGGGAGCAGTTGCTCCTCCTGGGTGTGGGCCTGGGGGGGCGGGAGGGGAGGCTGGCCCGCTGGAGGGCACACAGTTTTCTGACTCTCCCCTCCCAGGCTCTGCTTAATCAAATCATCCAAGAGTTGGTGCAGAAAGAGGGTTTAGAGAACCAACACTCCAATTTCAAATGAAAAAAAAAAATGATGAGGCCCCCCGGGGGGCGCAGTCTGTGCATCTGACTCTTGATCTCAACTCAGATTTGGTCTCAGGGTCATGAGGTCAAGCCCCACATTGGGCTCCACACTGAGCGTGGAGCCCACTGAAAAGAAAAGAAAAGAAAAGAAAAGAAAAGAAAAGAAAAGAAAAGAAAAGAAAAGAAAAGAAAAAAGAAAAGAAAAGAAAAGATCTAAAGCAAAACAAAATGGAAGCCACCCTCTGCCCTGGAGCCTCTCCCTGTCCTGACCTGCCTTCCTCCCCCAGCGCCCGTGCCCGAGGCGTATTACACAGCGAGGCCCATGCAGCTGGGAAGGTAGCACACGTATGATGGAGACACGGTGTCTGGGTTCAATTCCTGCCTTTGCCACTTAGAAGCCGCACGAACTCAGACACAATTTTTTTTCGACTTTTTTTTAAAAAATGTTTTGTTTATTTATTCCCGAGAAACCCAGAAAGAGAGAGAGAGAGAGAGAGAGAGAGAGAGAGAGAGGCAGAGGGAGAAGGAGGGTCCGTGCAAGGAGCCTGATGCAGGACTCGATTCCAGGACCCTGGGGTCACGCCCTGGGCTGAAGGCAGATGCTCAACCGCTGAGCCTCTGGACAACTCCACTCTCTCATTTTACAAAAGCAGCTTGTGGGGAAGCTTTCATTTGAACGATGGGTTTTCTGAATTTAAAATAAATATGCAAAAAAAATTTTTTTAAATAAATAAAAAATAAAATAAATATGCAGCAGGGCGCCTGGCTGGCACAGGTGGTGGAGCATGTGACCCTTGATCTCAAGGCTCAGAGTTTGAGCCACATGCTGGGCGCAGAGCTGACTTAAACAATAAAAATAATAAAAAAAGAAAACGTGAAGGAAATCCATCACATTCAGTGACCGCCCAGGATGACCTGCGCTGCATCTCCAATCCTCTTCTGTTCCTCGAGAACATTCTTGAGACTCGGGTTTTCTTGCCCATAAACGTTAAGGCAAAGCCAACAGCCACCCCTGGAGGTTGCTCTGAAGCCAGTCCCCGCCTCCCTTGGAGACGCCGAGCGGGGGCTGCAGCGCCTTGTCCATCCCGAGCAGCCTTCCCACGGGGAGCGGGTCCGCAGGAACAGCCCGACAGCTGGGGAATCTGTGGCGGCCCCTTGCTGCCACGGCCGGTGTGGAGGGGAGTGTAAGTGCGTCCCGGTCCTTGCACTCTGCAGGCCCTGGGCTCGTCACCACGCACTGGGGCCGCGCAGCAGGAACTCGGAGGTCCCTTCCCGGCCTCAGTGCGGCCGCCGCGGCCGCCAGGAAGACCCGGAGGCCCGAGTCCCAGTGGCTTCTGCATGGTGCACCTGCTAACGCGACGAGAATGAAGCCAAGTGGGGGGGCCCATCCGGGTCTGGAGCGGCTGGAGCACGGCTGGCCGCCCGGACCCCAACGCCGGGGGTGCAGGCAGGGACCCGGGGACCGTGGAAGCCCGTGGTGTGGGACGGAGGGGCACACGGCGCCTCCGCGGCCTCCGTTCAGCCCCCGTCGGGCCGCAGAGCTGCGAATCCTCTGCGCTCGGCCGGCCGCGCAGCTGCGGGGCCCGACGGCCGGACGCCCGGGCACGGAGGCCCCCGGAGAGGTGGGCCACAGGCCGTCCGCTGTGTAGCGACCCTGCCACCCTGGTGCCACGCCGCCTTGGGCAGGAGCCCGACGCGGTTCCCCGAGGGAGCGCCCGCCACGCGCGCCCACCTCCCCAAGACGGAAATCCCAGCGACTTCCAATTGCCGTCCACACCGGCAGGTCTCCGTCACATCACACACGGTTTCCGTCTTCTCTGACACGTAGTTTTGGGAGGAGTGACCTCGTGAGGGCCAAGGAAGGTGGCCTCACACGGGACGGCGCCAGAGGCCACGAGCACCCCGCATCCCAGGCTGTGCGGCCCAGGACCGCGGGCTTCTCGCCGGCCTCACCTGCGTCGGGGGGACAACGCTCGATTTTGACACAACGGGCTTGATTATCCCCAGCTTGCTCCACACGGACGCCACGCGGCTCTCTGCCAACACCCACCCTTCCCACCCACAGGCCTGTTTTCGGGTTCCCTGGACTGGGGCCCATCTGCCCCGCGCAAGGACTCTGCTATTCAGCAGCCTTTCCCAGCCTTCAACCCGTGAGCGGCCAAAGTATTCAAAACATTTTGGCTGCCCAGAGGATACCTACGGCTCAACTTTTATTTTCCCTCTTTTCCCCTTTACCTCCCTTCACTCCTTTCTTCTTTCTTCACCTTCCCCACCCTCCACCTCTGGCAGCCACCAGCTTTTTTTTTTTTTTTTTTTTTTTTTTTTTTTAGATTCCACATAGAAGGGAGATCATGCGGTCTTTGTCTTTCTCTAACTTATTTCACTTAACATGATGCCATGAGGCTCCATTTTGTAACAAGTGGCAGGATTTCATTCGTATTTATGGCCGAATAATCCCCTACTGCACATACGCAAATATATGTAGATATTCGTACACACAGACTTACATGCATACACAAGCTTGTACATTATGTGTACATGGACAGTTTCTTTATACATTTGTCTGTAGGTTGTTGGGTGTTTCTATACCTTCCCCATTGTAAGTAATACTGCAACGAACATAGACATATATTTATCTTTTCTCGTGCTTTTATTTTCTCTGGATGAATACTCAAAAGGTAAATTGCTAGATCATCTGCTGGTTCCAGTTGGAACTTTGGGAGGAGCTGTTTTCCCCAGTGGTCACGCCAATTTACGTTCCCACCAACAGTGCACGAGGGTTGCCTTTTTTCCACACGGAAACTCGTTATTTCCTCTCTTTTTGACAATATCGATCCTCACAAGCGTGAGGTGGCATCTCAATGTGGTTCAGGTTCGCATTTCCCTGACCACGAGTGACGCTGAACATCTGCGCATGTTCCTGTTGGCCATCTGTATGTGGTCTTTATAAAAACGTCTATTCAGACCTTCTGCCTGCTATTTAATTGGATCGTTTGGCTTTTTGCTATTGAGTTGTAGGAGTTCTTTATATATTTTGGCTATTAACCCCTTACCCCATGATGTGCAAGTATCTCCTCCTCTTTGGTGGGCTGCCTTTCATTTTGTTGGTGATTCCTTTGTTTTGCAGAAGCTTTCTAGCTTAAGATTAAAAAAAAAGATTAAAAGATTAAAAAAAAATCATCACCGAGACCGATGCGAAGGAGCTTACTGCTTATGTTTTCTTCTAGGCATTTTATGGCGTCCGGTCTAAAGTGCAAGACTTTAACCCATTTTAAGTTAATTTTTGTGTAATGGTATAGTGGCCCAATTTTCCCAACACCATTTACTAAAGAGACTATATTTTCCCCATTGCACATTCTTGGCTCCTCTGTCATACATGCACAGGTTTATTTCTGGGCTCTTTATTCTGTGCCATGAATCCATGTATCTGTTTTTTATGCCAGTCTTATGCCATATTAATTACTACGACTTTGTAACACAATTTTAAATCCAAGGCCATGATGCCTCCAGCTTTGTTCTCCTTTCTCAAGATTGCTCTGGGTGTTCAGAGTCTTTCACCGTTCTCTATAGATTTTATGATTATCTGCTCTATCTATCTGAAAAATGGGATTGTGATCTTGACAGAGATTGCACTGAATCTGTAGACTGCTTTGAGTCATACGGACAACTTAACAATATTGATTCTTGCAGTCCATGAGCATGGAATGTCTGTGCATCTGTTTGTGTCTTCTTCAATTTCTTTTATTAATGTCTTACAATTTTCAACATGTAGGTCTTTCACCTCCTTGGTTGAAT